TGGGTCGACCACTCCAGAAGAAGGTGTAGCCGGCACCCACCTCCTCCAGTTGGCCTTGTTCGGAGAATCGGGTCTCGCTGAGTGCGGCGATGTCCACCTTGTAGCGCGCCAGTTCTCGTGCCACTAGCGCCGTCCTCCGTTCCGGTCGGTTGCTCCTCGGATTGTCTAAAAGGGAACGAACATTCCAGGCTGCCAGAGTGAGCGTGCTCACCCTGTCAGTCTGGGGAAAACGAGTGGGGCGACGGGAAGGAGGTGGAGAAGAAGATGACGAAGGAGGAGAATAGGCAGAAGAATAGATGGATATAGAGGTAGAAGAGGTAGGATGGGGAGAAAGAGTATGGTTGTTGTTATTGGTATTGTTGTTGTTTCGATTTTGATTGTTTCGACCGTGTTGATGGCATCTGCGGCCTTGGCTGGCCTGCAGACGGCGTGGTGCCCAGCATTTTTTAGACCACCTTTTCTAGGCCCTTCCCCTCGCGGGGGCAGGCAGTGCCGTCCCTGAATCGGGCTGCCCATGTGCCTGGTTGGCGCGACCGAATCCCACTATGGGGCCACGACTTTTATGTTCGTAGTGGAGAACGACCGCATGTGCCGTGAGTCCGCGGTCTCCGTCGGCGGGGGTGGGCGCGTCTCAGCGAAGGCGATGCAGAGACCCGTCCCGGCAGCAGTTATCCAACGGCGTACCAGGCAGAGCCTCGTCTCGACGATGCCGGCGCAGTGTTTCATCCGACCATCCATCCGTCGGAGTCCGCGGTACGCTGTGCACTCGGCACAAGTGCACAGCGCCCTCACCTGGTTTAGCCCGCCGGTCGAGACGGTTGCCCGGGGTGTGGCCGCTGAGCAGAGCCCAGCTACGTGGAGCCACAGGTGAGAGTTGGGTGCCAGCAAATGGACGCTAGGTGTAGTCTCACCTGCAAGCAAGTGAGCGACCACTACGACCATCACGTGAACCCACCGCTGGTCACCCCTACACCCCCGCCACTACACACAACACACACACACACAACGCGACGAACTGCGTGAACCGAGAGCGGGCGTCAGTCAGCAACCTTCCTATCCACGACGCTTGACGTGTCGGGATAGTCTCGGACTCAAGTAACCCCTGCAGCCGAAGCCGCATGAGGACCGAGTCGAGATGCACACTTCCCACTTGCGTGGGAAGTGACAGTTGGGTGCATGAGGTGTGGGAGTGTTGATGTGTGGTGGGGTGACGGTGGTGGTGGTAGGGAGTGAGTGAATGTGTGGTTTGGCCGGCGGTTGTCTACCTCAGGTCGTCGTGGATGCGCATGTGGCCGAATAGGCCCATGCGATGCCTGAAGGTGCGAGGGCAGTGTGGGCAGTTGAGACGAGCTTGGTGAGTATAGGTTGGTGCTCCAGGCACTGGTTCTCCAGTCTCTGTGCGATGGATTCGCGAGTGACCGACCAGGCCGATGCGTGAGGTGAATGTGCGTGGACAGTGTGGGCATGAGAAATCGGCGGTGTCAGTGTCACCTACAGAGGTGCTGGTGGTGGCGCGGACGGGTGGAGCGGGTGTGGGGTTTTGCACGGTGGATGCGTCGGATGTGGTGGGTGTGTCAGGAGTGCGGTCAATGCCGCTCTCTTGGATGCGCATATGGCCGAATAGGCCCATGCGATGCCGGAAGGTGCGAGGGCATTGTGGGCGGTGAAGGCGAGTGCGGTGGGTGTAGGTTGGTGCTCCAGGCAGTGGTTCGCCAGTCTCTGTGCGGTGGATTCGCAAGTGATCGACCAGGCCGATGCGCGAGGTGAAGGTGCGGTCGCAGTGAGGGCAGGTTTAATCCTGATCCTCATCGCTGGAGTCGGTGGAGGTGGTGGTGGCGTCGGTTGTTGCGCGCGTGACAGTCGCCTGAGCGGCCGCCGTTGGAGGAGGAGGAGGAGGAGGAGGATGATGATGATGATGGAAGTGGTGGTTCAGAAGAATTGTCAGAGTTAGTTGGCGGTGGCGGGGAGGAAGAGTCGGGCGGGGGGACGATGGTTGGTACAGTTCGAGAGGCGCAGTTGGTCCGAAGATGTCCAACAAGTCCGATTCGAGCCCGGAATGTCCGTTGACATCGAGGACACGTTGGAAGCGGTTGTGCGGCGGCGTTCCGTACTGGGCGAAGTTGTGATTTGCGGGCTTCGCGTTTCGCTTTGGCGGCGGCTATGCGGTTGGCTTCGTGGATAGCAGCGCCCAATTGCAATTATATACAATCAGCACAAAGTGCAGTCATTTGCGTAGTTTGAGAGGGGAAATGTCATTAAACGTCAGGGATGTGTTGCATAAGGATGAAATCGAGAAATGAAATTTATGACTGACCGCAGATAGTCCTGCAGTGATAGTCGTCGTTTATCAAAGATCAAACGATCGAGCTGCCTTTTGAATACAGCCATTGTATCAGATGTCACTATTCCACTTGGGAGTGAGTTCCACGGTCGAGCAACACGCTGGCTGAAGGAAAACTTCTGATGGTCTAGGCGTGTACGCTCCCGCCTGACTTTGTACGGATGACCGCGCAGGTGACTCGTGGTCGTGAATTCAAAGAACTCTTCAGATTTGAGCGAGCATTCATGCCCGTGGATAATGCGGAATGTACATAACAGGTCACACCTCATTCGTCTATAGGAAATGGGGAACAAGTTTAGCTGGATCAGTCCTTCTGGGCATGACAGAGTCCTGAGACCGTCCACCAGTTTTGCGGCCCGTCGTTGCACCAGCTCTATGGCATCACTGTCTTTCTTCATCCAGGGCATCCATGATGGCATTCCGTATTCCAAAGGCCGTCTGACGAAAGTGCCGAATATCTATGAGAAGAGATCTGGAGGAAAGATTTTGAAGGCACGCCTAGTCCAGTGCATGATGCTGGTTGCCTTTTGAACGACTTACAGTGCTGGGAGGGCAGCAAGTTTAAACATGTCCAGACACCTAGGTCTTTGTGCGTGTCCATTTTCTTTTAGTGGAACCCCATTTATGGTGTACTGGTGTTTTGGGAAGCGCCTCCGACCAGATTCTAGTCACAAGACTGCACATTTGGATACGTTAAACACTAGAAGCCACTTGCTGGACAATGCAGCCAGCTTATCAACATCTTTCTGTAGTTTCTGTGAGTCGTCAACGCAGCTGATTGTTTTCCAGATCTTTATATCATCTGCAAACATGGTGTCGTCGCACTCAAGGTCTGAAGGACAGTCATATAGATGAGGAAGAGGAGAGGACCCAAGACTGAACCCTGTGAACGCCACTTTTTACTAGCACCTATTCGGATGCAGTAGTACCAACGATCACTTTTTGGAGCCTGCATGACAGGAAACTTTTAATCCACTTAAAAATGTTGCCCTGTATTCCACACTCCCAAATCATCTATAGGAGTCGTCCATGAGGAACGCTATCAAACGCCTTCTTAATGTCAAAGAAGGTGACGTCCACTGGACGGCCCTGGTCTATGGCTCCTGAGAGTAAAGACTGCTTGTAAGACAGGAGTGACCACGACGAAATCCGTGCTGAGCAGCACAAAGCAGGTCCCTCTGCTCCAGATACGACATTAAGTGTCCTTTAATAAGTCGTCCCATTACCTTGCACAAAATGCAGGTTAAACTAATAGGACGGTAATTTTCGGGCTTCAGCCTGGATCCGCCTTTATAGATTGGAGAAACCTGGGCCGTTTTCCACTCCTCCGGCAGTTCGCCTTCTTCCATGGACTTCTGAAATATCATGGACACCGGCTCACACAGTACGTCAGCTAATTCTCGGAGGACAAGCGGATGAATTCTATACATTGTATGTACGCTATATATGGCCTTATGGACAAGGTTGCAGTGTGCATTACGAGCGGCATAAGAATCGACGCCGAGAATCGGCGTTAAGGTCAGTCTACCGATGAGGCCGTAAGTTAAAACTTTTGCAGGAAAGGTGGTCTTGCTTGTGATCAACGGCCCCATCCTAGGTCAAACCATTTTGAATATTTAATGGGACGGGGCATTGAGGCTGCGTACTTTCTGATTAGTAGTCTGCGAGGCTGGATGTTGAGCTGATCATGTCACTGTGGGTATCCTTAACTACCTTGATCTCTGGCGATTTCCCGTCATGCAAAATACTTGGAGCCTGCCTTTTCGCTTCTGAAGGATGTCTAGTGTGTGTCAATGCAAAATTCAAATAACTGCGCGACAGTATCCATACGCCGACGACAATTTGGAAACCACGAAGTGACTACCGGAAGACTCAATTATTGACATATTTTAATAAGTACGGTTAAATTGCACAGCAATTTCAAATTGCGATTTCATGGCTTCCTTCTTTACACCCGAGTGTCACTGAAGGAACCATCAACAGCTCACTTACATGGATGATTCGAAAACAGGGATCTAGGGTTGCCAGAATAGTACGAATACTTATTGACTTATTTCGGTTAGATCCTGTCTTTAGTAAAATCAAGCCAGGTGGCTGCATGGTCTTGACAACTGTCACTGAGGCAGTTACTTTCGACAAACCGCACATGCTTCGCCACATTACCGGTGGAATAGGTCCTGTAATGCTTGATCTACTGCCAGACTAGAAATAAGGCCTTTCGACTAGCTTTAGGTCGCGGTGAGTGTAGGGTCTGTTTGAGATTCCTTCTGCGTCCTCTGATCTGTGGCCAATAGACGTTGTCAGTTGGCCAAAGGTATTTATCCTAAAGTAGTAGGAAATGCAAAACTTAGGAAGACTACCACTGGAAGAAGGAACTGCCCTGTCAGGTCGCCCTTGCAATGCACCACACCCAAAAAACTAGTTGAGAGGCCTTCCCACATGCGGCAAAATTCAACGTATTGTTCTTTGCGTACACAGTTCTATGACTGGAGGGCAAAGATTGTCAGCTCTGGTGAGCACGATGTGTGTATTTTCTTTTTCACCTGCTCCCATGAAGCATGGATGTCCGCTTGTTCATAAGTATATGAGGATACCCACCAGCGTCGTTAAAAAAAACTGAAGGAAAACAACTAATAATTTATTTCCCGTTCGGCTGGCGAAATTTTGTTACTGGGAGCCGCCGAAGTCTTTTAAGTAGTCTACGTTCTGACTCTGGAGTACCTCCGGCATCGCTAACCAGCGACAGCGGACACGAGAGTCCATGATGTGCGGTCGCCTATTTTGAGCTCATAAGTATCTGACTCAAAACCTGCAGTTGTCAAGGTCCATGGCTTATTAAACCAGTAATTGCATAGTGCGTAAGAAGTGACGGTGTCTTGACCTTGTGATTTTAAACTTTATTAAGCGGCTTCCACAACTGAAGAATTACAACGGTGCATCCTAAATGTCAAATTTTTTACAAATGACGTTTTGCCAGCACTAATAACACCCTGGTCTCCTTTAGTAGTTTGCCAAAATACGTTTCATTTTCTTTAAATAACGGACTCAAATAATCCAGCAAAACAAAATCCCAAATTTGCGTTTATATGCTATCAGGATGCCTCTTGGAGAGGTGGGAGCTACTATTAGGATTCGGTTATGGTAATTTTCGCAAGACACCCAGCTTCCACAGTAGCCTTTGAGATTGTAACACCTCACGAACTGCATAGGGTTGTTTGAGTGAAGAAGCACTTTTGGCGTACGGACCTGGGATGGTGGTGGCGAAGCTGCGTGCTGGTGAAGATGGCCGGTGTGCCTTCCTCATTACGGTCGACCCCCTTTTCCGCAACTTACCGTTAAGCTCGCATCGTTCCCTCTACGTCGACACCTCTCTCGGCCCTTCCCTGCAGCTGCCCACAGCGCTGCATACCCCACCGGATTCAAAAAAACTCAGCAAAACAAAAGCCCATATTTGTGCTTTCATGCCATCACAATGCCTTTTGGAGAGGTGTGAGCCAGTACTAGGATTCGAGCACGATAATTTTCGTAAAGGACACCCAACTTCCAGTAGCATTTGAGATCTCTAAATAAAGGGCCCGTTTCCAACCGGTATTTCGGTTTTATTCAACTGGAGCAGCTTTCTCCCAAATGCCATTTCTGCACGTGCTTAAAATAGCGCGACAAAAAATCAATAATCACGAGACGGCCACTGAATTGTAGACCTGGAGGAGCTGCCCTGTCTCGACAGATTTCAAACGGTCCCCTGCTGTGTCACGCCCTCTGTTCTGTCCGTACGAAGTGTTTATGTCTCATCTGTAAAAATGACAACCTTTTTTGAGGGAGAATACACAATCAACAGGGGTCGCATTAAGTGGACATGTCCCCTCCAAAGCATCCCCGATACTAGCCTTCTGAAGAATCTCGTGAAACGACTTGTTTCAAGTAATGAATCTGTCAGAAGGACAGCATACCTGGCTGCCAGAGATTTGATAAAACACAGCAGATCCGATTTTCTCATTAAAAGCCTGCGCCATGGCGGCCTCACTTCAATGAGAACAGTCTTCTACGAAGCAGATCCTTTCGCCCAACGTTGGAATGGCATCGCGGCCTGCATGAACCTGGTGCAAGATTTGGTCGGGGCAGGATCTGAGGTCAGAACCTATCTACTGTCACGCTGGCAACTTCTTCTGCGTCCACTCAAACTGCAGTATGAAGCTCTCAAAAAAGTCCCAGTCTATGATGATTTAGGTCCGGCGTTAAACAACGCGGCGGCAACACACCAGCACACCGGCTCGAATGTGAACAATGCTAGCGACTTTCAGGAACACATTCGGGATTTTTATCAAAAGTTAAGGCCTCAAATAGCTGATGATCCCACAAAAAACCTTGATAGGGAGGATGTGTTTGCATTTTCGGAATTTCTACGACATTTGGAGACTATATTTCTGACCGCACAGGATGTGACAGATGAGCCTTCCGTCGAGGAACTATTCCAAGCGAATAAGCTGCTGGACCCTGCTCATAGTAACGTGGTCTTTGAGGAGGGGAAGTTCGAGTATGCAGAAGGAGACATCTTGCCGGGACCTAGACTCGATTACGACCTCGAAGAGGACAGGCTTGAAGGGTATCAGAGAAAGTTGGGTGTATTGCCCTACGCGGAAGACTTTGTTTTTCTATCTGATAACAACTTACGGTCAATTCAGCTGTTCAGTCTCGAGGAGCTACCCGTCATAACGATAGAGAAGAACTCTGCAGCTAATTCAGTGAGTACTGAGAAACCCTTTAGTGGGACGTATCCATCGCTTGCAGAATGTGACCCTCAGAGACCTTCTCACACAAAGCCAGAGGTTTCTTTAGCCACAAAGGCACAGTCTATAGTTAGAACAGCGGTCAAGAACGTTGCTGGTCGGTTGAGCGACCTTGAGCTCGCCAATAACTTGGAGAGGGCCCTATCAGAAGAGGCTGCTTTGACCACGAGAGCGCAGTGCGCTGTCAGGAAGGCACTGGAGAACGCTACCGACACGCTAGGCGATGCCCAACTCTCAGAGAAAGTGGAGAGGGCCATGTCAGCCGAACTTTTTCAAAATAATCCAACGGATCCAAATCCTTCCCTCCAATCAGACATTGGTGATACCGCATCTACAGATGTTTATCAGGCTCCCCTGAGCGTTCAGGAGGGGAACCAAGGTACTGGAATAAACTCGCCGGGGTCGCAAACCTCAAGGTCTTCGTTTGCTAGGAAAGGCAGCGGTGCACAGATGCTACAAATTACCAAGTCGAAGGAGACCAACTTCAACAAGCTGACGCCATTGAGCAACTGCAGTGTTGCGATGATGCAGCGCCAGTCAGCCACAGGTCCAGTGTCGAGTGTTATGGCGACTGGAATGGGTGCATCTAGTCCTACAAGCGAGGCCTCATCCTCAGTGGATCAGAAAGGCCCGCTCAAGACTGTACCCACATTCAAGGGTTCCGCGCCTCTCGAGGGCAGACGACGCAAATTCACAAAAAAACTACCCAAACCCTGCTCCCCGGATTCGGACTTGGAATCCGACAGAGCACAGCCTATTCCATGTTTTCCGAGGAGCAGAGCGGTTGCCGATACTGGCGTCTTCTTAATAAGGCGAACCAGCTCCTGCAGCCGGAACGTCTGCCGACGTTCACTTGAGAGTTCTGCATCTACTGTTAACGCTTTTTGACTGAACGCTACTTTAATAAAAAAAAAAATCGCGCGTACGTCACGAGAGTCTGCCATCTTCTTCTTTAAGGATAAACTTTAATGGGGGATCAGGGAACAGGACATGAACATACGGGAATCTTATTAGTTGCGCAATTAAATTGTTAAGGGGTCCCATGGAGTTACTATTGTACAAATTACTTGGAAAATCTCCCATGCCTGAATGTTTGAGAGAGATCCGTAGCCATCCGACACACAGCGGGCGGGAGAAAAAATAAGATAGCCCCCTTACGGTCCAACATAAGGTCCTCATTTTGAGCTCGTGTTGCTTTGGAAATCGTCGGTGCAGGCTAGTTCTGCTACACGCTCCTATCGCGTCCGGGCGACCGCTGACACCGCACGGCTCAGCATGGCGCTCACAAGCCACAGTCGTCCAAACCGACCACTTACTTCAAAGCCCGACGCGGACACGCTCCCAACCAACTCAATAGGGCTGTTGTCCCAGTGGGCACCGGACGCACGCATGGCGTCCAGCTGACAACCTGCCTTACCAGCAGATTCTACTGGCAAAGTGGGACTGTTAAGGACGCTAAGTTTTTTAAAACAAAAGTCGACGAGACGGAATTGGTAGGACCGTCTTTTACTCTGGCCTGGTAAGTGCAAGCAGGTCAGACGCCAATGGCGGCAACTAGAAGAGTCAGTCGTTATCTTTGG